TTCTGTGCTGCGAAGATGGCTGCGTTAAGTCATACCAGACGTTTTCAGGTCTACAAACCCACCTTGATTGCGGAAAACATATGTACGCCCTGGAACACGAAACCCTTCTAGACAAAGCAATTATACAATATGGAACAAGGCTTGAACAAGGCCAAACCGACTATTCTCCAACCATTGAATCGCATTCAACGCAAGCAGCTATTTCTAAACCAACTATAAAAAAGGGTGGGAACTAGCGGTAAACTAGTGTGAGCTGCGTCGGTGTTTCTAAAGAAACAGTTATGTAAAAAGATAAATTTAACACCGTAAAAAAGTATGTGGAAAAACTTACTGACGTTTCGGATGTTAATCCTTCGTCGGAGTAAAGATGGGTGTCATGGACTACCTGTGTGTATTGGACTGGGTCATGTCACGTGATCGATGTGCGGACATGTGCTTGACGAGAGTGTGTGAGAGGACGTGTGTGAAACGAAAAGTTTTTTGGTTTTTTTTCATTTATATTCTGAATGTAACACGATGTTTACGTATGTATTAAAGTCGCTATGTTGACGCCATGTTCTCAATTGACAAAGGGCTGGGCGTTAAAGTCTATCAAAAGTAGAAAACGCTTAACGGAGGTTCAAAAGGACTATCTAATGGCGCAGTTCAGAATTGGAGAAGAAACAGGGCATAAAGCGGATCCCACATCTGTATCTAGAGCAATGAGAAGAGCAAAAAATGCCGATGGCGCTCGCCTCTTCAGTTCTGAAGATTTTCTTACATCAAGACAAATTGCAAGCTTTTTCTCAAGAGTTTCAAAGAAAAAAGTGGTCCCTGATGACACCCAAGAGGATACCGAGATTGAATATGACGCAATTGAGGTCTTAAGAGAAAGTACACTCGAAAAAGCGTGTAGTGATGTTCACACCAATCTTTGTATCAAGCATCCCATTGTATATGATGTATATAACTTATGTGAACTTACTGCACAGAATGATATGGGACAGTTCTCAAAGAAGATGCTCAAAGAAATGTGTGATGCCTTTGACCTTGATCCAAGTAAGATCAATGACAAAAGAAGGAACAGCCATTCGTCGACCTGATTACTAATCTTGTTCATAGCTGTTCATGCTTTGATGCTGCATCTTAACTTACTGAGGCCCTAACTAACCTTTCCATGTAAGTCATATTGTACTATATTATGAATTTAACACTAAGAAAAACATAGCGCTAAGCAATAACGAATCCATCAAAAACGAAGGTGCTATTACGTAATTTGATTTTTAAAACTTCTTAATAAACTCGGACACGCAATGACCATGGCACCAATAAACAATAAATATTGGAAGTCTGGCTAAAAAATGTAGAGTATTCAGTTATTGTTTTGCATTTACTTGTAAATCGCAAGAATAAGAACCCGGAGTAATAAATCGATAAAACCCAATGATCAATTAACTAATCGAGTATATACAGCTATAATAATAGCTAAATTGAAGTTATACAGTATGAATATCAACACAGAAAAATTAGACGCCTGTATTGTAAAGTTATATCTTTTGTTAATTTCGCTAATTTATGCAAAAAGGATTGCTAGAAAAATCAGTTTATCAAATGTTCGTGCGTCAATATTGTAATTACATAACGTAATTCACAATAAGCTTGATAAATTCGCGGTATTTTTCAAAAAGCCCATTCCGAAAACGCTCGACATCTTTTAGYGTGGCTATTGGCACGCGAATTGTGTGTGGATTTTGAAGAAGAACRAAGCAATACCATAATCCAGTAATAAAGCAAAAGTGAAGAATGTGCAGARCACTTTGGCACGTTATTACTTCAAACAAAACAATATACCAGAAAAATAAAATTAACCTAAACTGAAAATATGTTTTAAATCTTTTGACCAAATATTTTAAAACTGAATTCAGAAGCTTTTAATGGGAAAGGATTAGCTTTGGAAGTTCTAAGCAAAACATTTTGCACGTAATCGGGACTTATTATGCAAGAATGATTACAAGAAAAATCAGTTTTTAGCCAAATTTGAGTGTCAACAGCACCGTGAATACGCATTTACCAAAAGATTTTTYTTKATTAACTTCAAGCCCTGTGTTCTAGTATAAACTACAGAAAAGTTCAAGTCAATCTGGTGTATCGGCCCGGGTGAAATTCTCGACGGTTTGTACGGTATTTTTTGACTAAAAAAAACTGTTTAAAAAAACATCTGTTTAAAAAATCTACCAAAAATTCAGAATTTGTTAAAATAAGCTGAAAATCTCTCTGAAATACAATATGATATCATACTCGAAGGCAATAAAATCCGAAAGTTTAGATACAGGTTATTCGGTTTTCTAGAGGTCGCCAAACTTGCATAAATTTAAGCTATCAAATTAGCATATTTACCCTCTTTGGCAAAAATGCCTATTTCTCMCCAAAGAAAAAATATTTTTCAAARCAAACTACACAGAGGTTTTCATAACATGATAGGGTATCAAACTTGAAAGTATGAGCGAAATCGATTTTGGACCGTTGCCACATATAATTGATATTGTCTGGTTTTTACTGACATTGGCTCTTAATGGCTCAACAATATATCTAAAAGAGTTTATCACCGGAGTTACTTAAAACGGAGCAGTAACAATTCATTGAATTATTAGACATTGCTCTTGGTAATAGATGGTCAGCTAGGCGGGTGCATAGCGTAGTCCTATTGAGTTTAAATTTGATATTTCAATTTTGTCATTACAGCCTTGCACTATAGAAAAAAACTAGTTAATTCCTCATAGCAGCCAATCAGCGCTAGTAAATAAACCTGYASAACTTGTTAACAACCTTGAGGTGAGAAAATTTGCAAAAACAAAACCTGGTGAGRGTAGGGCCGTAAAACCTTTCTTTTTGRAGTGAACTATTACTATTCCTCTAGAGCTATCATCTRAGACTAAAATCGGAACTGTTGGAGTGAAGATCATGGAGAAAAGTCGCAATTTGTAACTAATATTCGACGTTCGAAAAGGACTGACAAAAGGCATACCAACAAACCCTTCCCACTGTTAACTTGAAGTCTCCTGAGAATTGTTGTTGATACAAGATACTTTGCGGTACATAATTTATGTTTTTTTATCCATCTTTAGTTGTAAACGACTTATAAAACTCCAACACAAATTAAMATGAATTACAGAGAGATAAATGACAAAAATGACAATTAAGGTAACTGCTGAGTTTAGTCGCTATTAAGCATGCGCAATTTACTGCAACACAGAACATTTTGAATAATTATCCATCCCACATGGAAAGCAAGCCATCTGTTGCATAAGCGAGTTCTATTATATGYCTTTGATTGCTTYAAAACCTAGTGAAGGTCAATGATGAGATACTAAAACTAAGACCTTTGCTAGTGTTGGTTTGGGTCAATGGTGACAACTGTGTTGTAAATCTGATACAACACTAGYGTCAACCACCTGATTAAATGGACAGCCCTTATTRGAATAATAGCTCATGCATCATYAATAAGTTTTATAATAGATAATACATATCAGATCAAGACAAGGACTTGAAATTGGTAGCGTAAAAAATTAGCTCGGCCATGCCTACTAAAATC